TTCAGTTGCAGAGTTTTGGCATCACCAAAAGTGAGGCTGGACTTGCTGTCAAATCAGGATATTCCAGAGGGAGGAAAAAGCCACACTTAGAGAAATGGGAGTGGTGGATTAATCTTTTGTTTCAGGTTATCTCTACAATTGTTGGAATAATTTGATCTTTCTCTGTGGTGGTTACAAGCAGTCAGAGGGGCTGACAAGAGCAATTGCATTAAGCCTACTAACCCTTGCTAATGCTGTGAGCCAGAGGGATTTGCAGTATTGTCTGACTGAGGCTTAAGCCAGTTGTTTAGTATCAGGTACTTGAGTTGAGGTGTTGAGAGAGGATATAAACAAGAAGAAAGGGAAAATCCCTAGTTTTATTTCTTTGATTTTGGAAAATGCTGGAATTTGGATTTTGGAGCTGCTGTGCTCCAAACTACTCAGCCTTTATAAAGTAGTTCTGAGGATTACTCAGGTAGGTCTAGTTTTGTTTTTAATGCCTGTTGTGCTGGAGCAACTCAGGCTACTTTTAAACAGAGAGCAATCTGTGCTGCACACCACGTGTGCTGCTCTGCTGCTCACAAGTGTAGGTCTCCAATGTGTCGTTCCCTCAAATGGAAAAACTTGCAGAATCAATCACAATGGCAGTTCAATGATCTGCCTTACAGTACCTTCACAGCTTGGCTTTGCTGGATGCTGAGCCTGCACTGAACGTGCCAGCTGCTCTGGTGTCCCTTGGAGATTTTCCATTCATAAGATTGAGCTGGGCTGAACTTACGTGGGCTTGCAGTCCTGTTGCCAGAAAACAGGATAACTGGCTGTCATCCAGGTGCTGAAAGGGCTTTGCTGTTAGAGTTTTCGGAGTATGGTGGTCTCCGGTGACATGGATTTGTGGAGTTGCTGTGGCAACCTGCATAGGTTTTGTCAAGTCCCTGCCTGGTTTCTGGTTTCCAAATTAGCTTTGTTATTCATCCCACTTTGGAGAGTGGAGACTGGGAGCTGGGCCATGGGCCAGTTTGCCTGCTGGACAAGCAAAGCAACCTCTGAAGAGGTGGGGACAGAGAGCTGATGGCTGCAGCATGGTGCCTGCCTGCCTTCCCTCCAGCTGGGCACATCAATGAGAGCCTCTGCCTCTCTGCAGCCTCCCTGTTGCCTTTACTTGCTTATTCCTACCATAGCTGTAGTTCAAAAGTAGTTAAAGTTGTGTCCTGGCCCCATTGCATTAGGTCAGACTGATTTGAAAACCCTATGCTGTTTTCATTTTAAATGAAAAAATATTGATAACTTCAGCAGAAACATGGCTTTAAAACAGTGCTTGCTTCAAAGGAGGTCATTCCTCTGAAGTTCATTTGAGTGGAACATAGTTCAAACAAGGCCTTGAGTGAAGCCCTTGGAAGGCAGAGTTTTCCAAGCTTCTGAGGTAACTCAGGGTCTGATGCTTTCTAGCTGGAAGTCCATCCCACACCCTGGAACATTCAGCCTTTGCAGAACTGTCCCTTTCACTCCTGTGAGCTCAGTGTGCAGCACTGTTGGCTCCACATACTTGCAAATTTTCTTCTTGAAGCTCCACATCTTCTCTTGAGGATGCCTACGAAGTCCTGGGTGATGGTCTCTTTGGGTGTGGAAATACAAAAGGGAGAAAATTAAACTTCCTATTTTGTGTGGCTAGCTTTTAACAGGTAAGCAGCCTAATTCATTAAATGCTATACAGAGCTCTAATGTTGTATAATTAAGAGTAGGAAAGGGATGAAATTATCTTTTTCTTTTATATTTTAAACACATACTTTTTATTATGATGCATCATGGGTTATTATATGCATACCTTGATTGAACTTTTCTCATCTTCTCCTCAAGATCTGATCACTTATCCCAGCATAATAATTTTGTTTTCTTCTTTCTTGTGAGGTGCCCAGCACTATTGTGTACTTAGTGTTCAGAGCAAGCTAAACATGCAGTGTCTATCAAAAGCTGTTCCAGTTTTTATTTTCACTCTTACAGGTTCTGCATAAATGATATCTTGATTAAAATATAAAACATGTAGTTTTGTCTCATTTATGTGAAGTTTAATAGCAAGTGGGGAGAAAAAGATAAGCTTAGTGAAATGCTACATGGAGTTCTATGACAGCAAGAGTTGCTTATATTTTGGGCTTGATATGCATTGGATCATTATCATAAGAGTTTGGAGCTGGAGGTTCTGGACTGTGGACAGCAGAAGTGCCTTTATATTGTCTAAGTCATGTGGTTCACTTAAAGTAACTTTTGACTTACCTTTACACAGCCTTGAGCCTGAGATGTTCTGGGTATTGTATGTCTGTGATAAAAATAACAGAGAAGCAAATATGTGCTCAGGGATTGTTGCAGAGCTGATAGTGATCTCAGAAACCACAGGAGTGTCATGTTACTCCGTTCCTAGATGGAGATGCCTTGAAATGCCTGTGTAAAATGCTCCAGGGCATTATGAACCTGCAGCCTGCATGCTGCAGAGACCATACATGGATAGAGAAGAGCTGTTTATTGAATGGTAACACAAGTTCTGATCTTCAGTCTGGGCACAGGACTGTACATGTTAGTGTCTGTACAGTTAACTCACTGTGAAGAGGGAGTGTGTAGGGGAGCTCTGGCACATTTGAATTGTGTCTGCAGCCCACCTTGGGTCTCCTGGGTACACCACAAACACACCTGAGTATCCATTCTCAACCTCCTGTGGAGGTGATGAGAAATGTATTAGATGAAGGGAGGCTGGGAGTGATGCTGGAGGCACAGAATTGCTTTTACTTGTTTCTGCTTTTGCTCTTTGAGAGTCATCTTAAATATTTGTGTTACATCTCATTGCATTCTGTGTCTTACTTGCCAAGAGTGGTTGCCTTAGTCACCAGGGCTGTGGTAACTAGGACAACAAGATTAAGCAGGCAAATGTAGAAATAATGGTAATAACTTTCTCAACTCTTCCTGCAATTGGCTTGTATGAACAAATATCCTGCATGTGGGTGACTTGTGTCAGCAGTCTGTTCTCCCTTTCTTCCTGACACATCCTGAAATCCTGCTGGTGGCACTACCCTGATCGAGCTGTGGTGGTGCCCTCCTGCAGCTGGAAATAAGCCTGTCAGGACCATGTGAATGTTGCTGTCCACCTCCTTCCTGCAGCTTGGCAGCCTGTGCTGGATCTGGAACAGAGTGCAAGGGACACTAAAGGCCATCTCTTGGGGTCAGCACTTGTGTCCTCACTAGCTTGGTGGCAGATTCTGAGTGGGAAGTACGGGACCATCTGCTGAGATGGGGAGGCTGCCTTACAGTGCTGCGGCCAACTGGTGGCTTCCATGCAGTCACTTTCTTCCATGGATGTTGTCCTCTCCTGGAATAGTTATTTACATGTTGATTTGTTTGCTCACTGTTGCACTGAGGAGGGTCTGGGAAATGGTAGTTGTTGTCCTATCTCTTATTCCTCAGGACACTGTTTGCACTATGGGTATAGCTGGAGGTCAGCTTAATGCAATTTTGCTTTGCTTTGAGAGCAGGCTGTTTCTATCCCACCAGGTAAACCCAAATCCTGACTTGGGACAATGAAGTTGTATCTCCCACCCCACCTTTGAAACATGTTTCTGGAAACTCCCACTGAGCTGCATCTTGCTGTGTCTGTGCCTTGTGTCTGCCCTTTCTGCAGTAACAAACCAGTGCAGTGTTCTCTCCTCTAAAAAGCTCCCAGCTCCATGAATTTGGGATAGCAAGGCACTTGCCTAGTATTCCTCGCTGTGCTGTGCATTGTTTTCTTTCTCCCTGCTTGTTTTCTCCCAGCTGAATGTGATAGTTCGCCGCAGTGAACACAGTAAAGGGATTCCCTGGATGCACAGGCCTCTTCTTTGTGAGCACCCTGTGCAAGCTTAATAGGCTCTTTTGAACACTCTTGACAATATCTGATTGATCTTTCATGTGGGGGAGGAGTAGGGTGATTGCATCCAAGGAATTGTGCTAACAAAAGACCCTGTGCTTTGGTACCTGCCTTCCCTGGGAAACAGCATCCTCTGCCTCTTTTCTATATGTCATTATCCTGAGGCGTGCATTCACCTCGCCTGGCAGCCTGTTTATAGCTGCAAGCAGCATTTCTATTAAGGAACTGTCGGATATTTCTGAACTAATTTTTTTTACTTTGAGTGGTACCCTTTTTGTATGTCCAGATCCTGGGACTTGAGTTTCCTTCTCTGATGTTGCTTTCCCTTGACTTGGGTTCTCTTAAAAACTGTAACTGGCTGCAATTTCATAGTCACTTGCAGTCTTATTTCCTGCCCTTACTAACCATTGTTGGATAGAGTCAGATTCAAAGCTGTCCCCTTATGGCTGTTTTAAAAACTTTTCAATATTATTCTGTGCTGGAACTAGCTTTTATTTCTTTTATAGGCTTGTTTTACAGTTTGATCAGTGAACCAAAAAAGCCATGTTTTTGTCTCTTCTGCTTCAGTTGGCTGCTGTAGAGCTTCCTGTGGGCCAGTCTCAAGGTAGTATGTGCACTGGCAAATGGTCTTCTGGAAGCCTGTGTACAAGAGCTCAGGATAACTCATTTCAGTAATGCTTAATGACCTCCTGTTTAAATTCAGAGTACTTAGAAAGCAAGGATGCTGCATCTGAACATATACAGGATAGCATATGCCCAGGTAATGGGCATAAAACAGTGCTTCTGTTGCGCCAAGTGGTTTTGTGTGCACCTGTTGTACAGGAAATCCTTCAGCCACAGATCCCTGTGTGTTGGTGGGAAGGATTGTATGATAAATCACCCGTCCCTCCATTTCCTGAGCTCCTCAATGGGCATTCTGGTGCTTCAGTGAGCACTACAAAACTGTGCCTTAAAGAGACAAAGTGGTTGGTAGAGTGTTGAACTTTTGAAGTGCTACAAATTTAAATTTTCTTAGTCAGGGTGTCTTTGGATGGCTGCCTGTGCCCGGTGTGGCTGTAATACAGGATGTGGTGAGGAGGCACACCAAGTTATTTATGGACCCTTTTGCTAGGTGAAATGTGTGCTGTGATAGCTCCTGGCTCTGCTTGCAGCTTGCTGAGAAGGTGAATGGGCACAGTGATCCTTGGAAAGAATGTCTTGTTCCACTGGGACAGCATCTGGAAGTGAGCAGTTGCAGGTGCATGTGGTGTCATCTGTTCAGTCTGTGTGCTGCTTGCTGGGGCCCCCAAGAGCCTTGCCAGCCTGTGAGTAACTGTCTGACACTGCCGAGCCCAAGCTGCAGCACCTTGGAGAGTAGGGGCAGTCTGCTGCACAGCCTGGCAGCCTGCTGGGAAATCTTGTGGTGCCAGTGAGCAGGAATGACTGTGGACAGCAGCTGCCTGCATGCTTTGCCTGGAGAGGGCCCTGAGGGGAAATTGCTTCTGCTGTGGTCCACTGGAGCTCAGTCTGCTCCCTGGACACATTTCATTTTGCAGCATAGCTGGTTCATGCTCTTTGATGCCTGCTCCCAGAAAGTCTGATGTTACAAGGTCAATGGACCTGGACAAAAAGCAGTATTCTATTGCTGGGATTTTCTGGTAAATACCATGGTATTCCTGAGCTAGGGAATTTAGTGTGAGCCGTAGCAATGTGTACTGCCTTGTCACTTCCACTCCAGCTGCATGGGTTGTGTGGCATACCTGCCTCAGAAAAGCATGCATAGTTGGGTAGAAACAGCCCAGAAGCTTTGTGTTGCAGTAGTATTTCAAGATGGATGTCTTTCCCAGGAGGGGCCATTTCTGAAGCTGGCTGGTGGGGAGAAGCAGTGCACACTGGAGTGTTTGCAGGTACCCCTGTGCTAAAAGGAAAGCTGCTCTGTAGCATCAGGTAAGCTACAGCTCCTTGCTGTGGAGTGTGGGTTAGGTCTGGCATGTCTGTGTTAGTGACAGGTTGGAGTAGCCAAGTGTCTTTCTAGACAGATCTCAGGTTTTTCACTCCATCCTCTGATCTTGTTTTTATCACTGAATACACAGACTGATTGCTCTTCTATGATTTTAACAACTGCCCTTTCTTAGCTTCCCCACTTTTCAGGCAAGGGTTTGTTGTGTGTGGTCTGCACAGTGGCCTCACTGGTCTAGATCAGTGGTTTAAGAGACTTGTGCAACAGAGAGGTTTATAAGTCTTTTGGGAAACAACTCTGCTGGGCATAGCTCTATACTGAATTCTGTCTAGAGAGAGGAGACTTGCTAGGAAGGGGAGGCTGGAATAGCCCTGCCACTGCTGACAGGCTGTGCTCATCCTGTTTGGGAGGTTGAGGTTCTGGGTAGGTTTGGCATCACATTGGTAGCTGCTCTTTCCTCCTACAGTGGGACTAACCACATTAATAGGAATGTCCCCTGAGATCAGGATAGGAAAGATGTATATCTTGTGTGTGATCTGCTCTCTAGGCTGGCAAAACTTGTGGGAGCTCTCAGTCTGCAGCAGGGAGGATCAGGAGGAAGCAGTCCTCAAGTGAGGAGGTGGCATTTAGGTTATATATTGATGCTGGCCATCTCTTTGTCTGCTGCCTACAGTGTGCCATGCTTTTCCTAGACACAAATCCACAACATGAACAGGTAGTAGAGGCCAGAGTGGTCCACTTCTTTTTGAGGCTGCCTGCATTACTGAGTATGAAACTCTGGAGCTGTCTGTAGCTGTAGAGCCTGTAAGGGACAGTTGTGCTTAAAGAAATCTGGGAACAGGAAGGCAGCATTTCATAATGTAGGTTTATCTTTGACTGGCTTCCGCTGTTGTGTTTGAACTGGTTTGAGAAAGCACCATTTGTCTTGTTTGGAAACATTTGCTTGCAGAGATGCTGGCACACACTTGTCCATGTGAGGAGGCACGACCAAACATCAGAGGGTGGTTCAGCAGGCTTGAGAAGGAGAGCACATGTACTCTGGAGCTGTCTGCTGCAGGCTTAACCAGAGGGAATCCCAGAGATCTTTGCTGGTTTGAGTGTCACTGCTGTCCATGCTTTTTGGGGGTACTGGAGAAAAGGGAATGCTCCTGTATGGCCTTGGCCAAACGTTTGTGTGAGAGCTGTTTTTCTATTGCAGACAGGCTTGCTCTGTCCTGGTTTGGGATCTCATGACCTCTGCATTGGTGCCCTCCTGCTTGGAACAGCCTCACTGTGCCATGGGCAGCAAACAAGCAGAGGTATCTCGATGTTAGCTCCTGTCCTAAGTAGCCATTCTTCTATTGGAAATGCAGTGTTATGAGTAGTTCAAATCTTTGGTGTGCCTTGCTAGCATAGTAACATTTTGGCAGCACAAAAGCAGCTGAAAGTCTGTAGTAGATGTAGCTTTTAGGAAAGAGAAGTGTTCTGCACCCTGAGCACAGCACTGCTGCTGGTCCATCTGCCACTCCTTGTGTGACTCCCTGGGCGTGGGGCTGCTCTACACACTCAGTGATGCGTGTTGGCTGACATCCTTCAGCAAGCGTGTTTCTAAAGCATGAGCTGTTATAACCTTCCTGTGACAGAAACAGTGGCTGGTCCAGGAACAGTTTTGGCTGCAGTTTGGCTACACGTCAGATACACGTCAAGTTTTGAAAGGAAGGAAAGAGGATGAGGAAGAGGATGATATTGTACATCTTGTTAGGTATTCAGAAAGATTTTTGTATTCTCTTAGATAAATCCAACAAATCTCTTCTGTAATGCTGAGTGAATCTTAAATCTTCCAGACAAAACCAGTGAGTCCAGTACCTGTCTGTGCTTTCCTCCCTTACACCTGGCTGCTTTCACACTGGTAGCAAGCAGCTCCGATGGCTGCTGGTGGTGATCACTAGTAGCTACTGCTACTGGCTGAGGCATGCATAGTGTTGATTTCCTTGTCCTTTCTCTGAACCTCCTTATCTCATTGGTGCACCTGACCCAGCCTGGAATGCCTGCTATGCCTTGTCCTCACTGTTGTGTGTCTTTGGGACATGGCCTACCCTGTTCCTGTGCCTCTGTTGAGAGCAGCTGTGTGCTGTCTCAGTAGTGTTGCAGTACTATGAGGTGAATCTCTGAGCACAAAGAAATGCTAGAGTGTGTGATGGAAGAGAAGGTGGTTCCTGGGAGGCCTCTGGGTGGCAGTCAGAGCCCCTGGGCAGAGCCGTGTGTGGTCCCTGCAGCAGGTGGGAAAGCTGCTTCAGAGTGTTTAATAGAGCAGCTGGGTGCTGACCAAACCAGAGATCGTCCCCCCAGAGAATAAAGGGTTAAGCACTCTTCCAAGGGCTGGTTGAAGCAGGGCATGCCTGATAAATGTGCATACACAGTGAGATGGTGACGTTTGATGCAGTTAAGAATGGCCTGCCCAGTCAGATGAGAGCAGCAGGGGGTGATGGTGTGGATTTTCCCTTCCATGCGAATAGGAAAATGAAAAAAATTAGGTGCTCCAATTCAGTACAGTGGTGCTGAGGTCCCATTTAATGCACTGCACTGGCCTCTTTTCAGTGACTGCAGTCTATCTTGAATGGCCATTCCAGGGGGGAAATGCTAACCAGGACACAAGGCTGTGAGGAAAACTCTAGGCAGCTGCAAAGGAGCCAGTCAGGAAGACAAGGAAAGGTAGATGTATCTGCTTGCAGGACACTGTTTTCTTCCCATTTGCCTCCTGACTGAGGATGAATTGCTTGATGATACCTTGCTCTTGGTAATGTATATCCTATTGATACTGTTATTCCTTGCCCTCCCCAGCATGACTTTGCCTGTCCTCCCCCCTGTAGTGCAGCCAAGCTGCTGCTGTGAGGACAAGAAACCCCTTCCTTTGCTGTTAAAACCCTCAAAGACAAAAGGAAGGAGGATGTAATCTGATCTTCTGTGATGTCTTGGGTTTGGTCTGTCTAGGGGCACTTGGAAGGAGATGGGATGATGGAGGGGAGAAATAGTCATGTGGGAAAACAGGCTGGATTTCTTGAGGCAGGCAGAGCTGTAAGCTGTGTCATGCTTCATAGGAAATGAAGGGACGTAACAGCGTTGGGAGGTTTTGTCTTTTGTGTTTCGTGCTTTAGGATTTTCTTTGTGAATATCACTTGGGAATTGGGATAAGTCAAACCTACTGCAATTTGCAGTAACAGAACCCTGCTTTGGATCCAGCAGCAGGGCAGACATGTGCTGCTGGTAGCAAGCTGCTATCAGCCAGGATGCAGACGAGCCAAAATGTCTGGCAGAATGTCTTATGGCAAGGAGAGGAATGCTGGTCAGCACCAGGGCTGTTGTGCTATACACCACTATACGTAGCTTGGCTGAGGGACCTGTGACACAGCAGGTATTTGGTGCCTTTGCCCTAGCTCTTTCCTTGGTGACCCCAGGAGGGTGCTGTCACGTTTTTTGGCCTTTGCATCCTACTGTGTTACATCTCTTCCATGCAGCTTGCTTTACTTGCCCATCCCAGGTTGCAGCAGTTGCAGTGGCTGGAGGGGAGAGTGGCAAGAGTGTGTTAGCAAGCCCTGAGTCCTCTGTCTCTCTTTCCCTTGGGGAAGCTCTCAAAGCAGGCTGATGCTGGCTTTCCTCCCAGTCCATCTGTAATTGGCGCACCTACCTGTCCTGATGCCTGATCTGCAGAGCCTGATGAACCTGCTGCTGTCCCAGTTCATTGCTCTGTTTGCTGGCAACAGGGACTTGGTCTCTGAAAGTGGAGTAGGTTTCTCCTCCCCTCTGCGTGCATCAGTGGTGTCTCATGCAAACACACCACTTGGGGCTCAGGGAGGATCTTACTTTCAGGAAGCTGTGGCACATTTGGAATGGTGTCTCGCCACTTGCACGACATTTGTGTGCTCTTCCCTTGACACCCGCTTTGGCCACTATCCGAGGTGAGCTCTGTGGATGGACACCCTTCTGATCAGATCTACTTTTACAAGCTGCTCCATGCGACCAGACAGTCTGCAGGGTGTCCCAGGTTTGTGGTCCTGGCCGGCTGCCTTCTGCCCTCTAGCGGAAACATGTTTTGGGAATAGGTGCTGCTCCAGCGGTTGGCAGGGGTACGGGAGCATCGGGAGCGTCCGGTGCCTTGTGAGCCCCACGGAAATTCTGGCATCTTTCCAGAAGCCCAGTCTCAGAGTTTAGTATCACCTTGAAGGGAAACCTGAGCTGTCAAAGTCAGGAAAAATTTTGAAGGGCAGCTAAAGTAACACTATTGAAGGCTTAGTCCACATTTGTGCATTTAATAATGGTGGCAGTGCTGACAAGGATGCACAGAGGGCCAGTGCTGGGAATGGTGGATGTGTTCTAACATTTGTAGGTGGCATGGAAACTACAGGAAAACCCAAGGTCCCTGGCTGCTGCCACTTGGAGAAATCAGTGCAAGTGTCCAGGGAAACAGTCTCATCCAGAGAATGAGCTGCCACTCACGAGTGATTGGTAAGCCAAGCAATGAACATCACAGGATATCAGCAGAAAAAGAGGGCATTTCATGGGCTTGACCCTTAACTTGGGGATAAGGACTGGCTCTGAGGCTGGGGCACGGAGCAGGGTTGGGCAGTGACTCTGGATGCACACTGGGCTTTTCCCCTGGCTTGTTCCAGCTGCAGTGGGCACCATGCCAAGAGCAGATTCTCTAGCTGTTTCACATCAGCTGAAACACTGCTTTATTATTTGGATGAGATTTTCTTTGGACAAGTACTTGCTTATAATAATGTTTATATATACTTTGGAAAAAAAATTCTAAAAGCATATTTTTATACATGTACATTATATATGGGTAATAGGGTGGTAGACATACTTGAAGACTTCTTCCAGAATGAGGAGGACTGCTGTAGTTGCTTTTAAGAAGATTTGATTAGTTCTGTTCGTACATGGAGGGCATCACCTGTGACCCAGTTGAGTGGCACAGTCAGAGCAACAGAAAACCTTTTTGCTTTTCAAA